TCACTTCCAAATCTCTCTCTCCTTACTTCCCTACCCTGTGGGATATCCCTCCCTTGTAACAAAGAAAGAGGGAAAGAAAGCAGGTCAACCTGCACATGAGTCATGCCTGACAATTTATGCCCCAGGGCTCCTTCCAGTTTCCCACGCTGCCTCTCTCACCTGTAAGCATTTGGACCTGTCTATATATATACATTCTTCCCCAAAGATTTCTTGCTGCTGTTCCTTCTTTTATCTGTTTTCCCAAGATGAGACTTCTCCCAAGATGAGGATTGCTGGGATGTTTCCATCATCAGCCAGGGGGGATGGGTTTATGTCCCCCACTTGAAGGAGTAGGTCATGCCAGACTCACAAAGCTTATTACATCTGTTAGGATGAAGAGTAATGCTGAAATCAATCAACCTGCCTTCCAGGCACTATCCTAAGCCCTGGGAATACGAAAAAATGAAAGTCTCTTCCCTCAAGGAGCTTCCATTCTAAGATTCAAGATAACACATACATATATCAGTATGTACAAGGCACATATAAGAAAAATAAAAGATAACCTTATAGAGGAAGGAATTAGCAGTAGGTGTATACATATGTGTGACCAGGAATGGTATCCTGCAGAAGGTAGGACATGGGCAAAGTCTCGAAGGAAGACAAGTATTCCAACAGGCAGAGTTGGGGAGGAAGTGCACTCCAGGCATGAGGGAGGAAGAAATTTCAGGGGCGTCTGTGAGGCATAGAGCACTAAACAAAAAAGGTGGAGGGGAGAGGTTAAGCATTCATTCTGGCAAAACACCTTCTGATGCAAGTGTCTAGACTAAAAGCAGCAGAAGAAACCCTCATCTTTTTTGTATCTGGTAGTAGGCCAGCTCTCCAGCCAAAGTCACACTCTTCTTGAGAAATCTCTAAGCCTAGATCAGACTATTTGGAAGTGGAAAAACCTTGGAAGTCATCTATGCCAATGCCCTGAGGACACTGAGGCTAGGAGGAGTTAGGTGACTTGCCCACTGAAGCCTCTTCCAACTCTGAGGCTCTGGGGCTTTGTAAGTTACTTCAGTTCTACCTGAGGACTGTGGGGTAAATACTAGGCGATCTACCTCCTGAGGTTCATGTCCCATGATTCTTGGAAGTCTGAATCCCATCTTCTGTTTCCAATTACTTTTTCCATTTCAAAAGGTCTTTGCTGACACAAAGGTCTTGCAGTGAACAAAGAGGGAGATATGATGTCTGCCTACTGGCAAAAAGTTAGAGAATGAAATCAGAGGAAATGTGCCTTGAGCTGAGGTGAACTAGATCACAACATGAAGGTCATCTGGATCCAAGAGCTAGCTCTGCTTCAGCGGCTGTCTCTTCTGATGGGCACCCAGGCAAGAAACCAGGGAAACCAGACCAGGCAGATGGGTGATGGAGTTCCTTCACAACAATATGTAGTTCAAAAAAAAAAAAACCTCAATGAGCTCAAGACCTGGTTTGGTCTTCACTAGTGCCTCATAATTCATCCCATACTCCTGAGACAAATTTCAGAATGTGGGATTAGATGGAGCCCACGATCTTCTCGGAGCTGGGCCATGTGGTGCTGGTCTACCGTTAAACCCGGAACCTCTGCTGGGGATGGTGATCTGGACCTAATAGGAAACAGCTGCCTTGAGGCGAGAGGCTCTGGAAACCGTTCCTCATCTCCCAAGACATGCCTTCCTCAGGAGTCCCCGTTGCCTGCCCATCAAGATAATTGCCTGTCAGTCTTCTGAATGCGGACGCAGAACAGCTGGCTGGGCTTGGGTAATGAAAAGCTTATGGAGAGAAGCTGGGCTGAGGCCTTGGCAAGCTGCTTCTTTGGAGAGAGAGGTTCAGGATTCTGTTGAGTCAGTCCACTGCCCGCAGCCTTCTCTTCCTCCTCTTGGAGGTGTGGCTGCTCTGGAGGAGCCAGTGGGAAGGGGAACCGGACAGGAGAGGAGAGGTTGCCAGGGAGTCCATGTGGAGAGGAAACTTGGAGTAAGGCACAGTCTAACAGGGCCCCTGCCTAGGTTTATTATAGAAAATAACCAGGTGCACAATATGAGTGGCTTCATGATGGGGTGAGGGGAAGACCATGGGGGAGATATCTTAGGCAACTGTGGCGGCGCTGAGCTCTGAGAAGGGGCTCTCCTGGCTGCCGTTGTGGCTGTGGGGCAGGACAGCTTCCTCAGGAGTCTGGGAAGGAGGAGTCCATCCATCCCAGTCAAGAGTCCTTTGGGCCCTGAGGAGAGATCAAAGCCTTTTCTCTGGAGGACAGAAGGCTATCTTGGTGCCAGACAACCAACCCAGGATTTCTACTCAGGCACTTTGACTCCAAATACGATATTTTTTCCCTTGTATTTTTCAGGGAAGACAAAGAAAGCTAAAGAACGATGTTATTGAGTGTCAAATTGTATAAGCAGATAAGTGGTGCAATGGTTAGAGCGCTGGGCCTGGAGTCAAGAAGACCTGAGTTCAAATCTAGCCTCTGATACTTCCTAGCTGTGTGACCCTGGGCAAGTCACTTAACCTTTGTTTGCCTTAACTGCAAAATGGGGATATTAACAATACCCTCCTCAAAGGGTTGTTGTGAGGATCAAATGAGAAAATATTTATAAAGTGCCAGATACAGTATCTTTCATAGGAGTAAGTGCTATATAAATATTTATTCCCACAAAATTAAATAAAATACTCAGATGCTGATACAGTAAGTACAAATATGTTTATATGTTATAAGTATTTATGGTTTAAATATATTTGTTATTTAAACACTCTAATAATATAAACTATTCATTTATATATTATATTCTATTATATAAATGTGTATATAAATTTAAACATTTTCATTATTTACATCTAATAAATATATTGAATAACATATTATAAATATATCTGGCATTTATATAGTGCTTTTGAGTTTACAAAAATACATATGCATTATCTCATTTGATCCCTGAAAATAACCTTGTGAAATAGGTGTATGTAGAATCTGGTTACTGAGAGTCAGGGTCATACCACTGGTAGGTATCTGAGATGGGATGTGAACACATGTCTGTCGGCCCCAACCCCAGCATCTATCCACTATACCGAGCTGCCTCTCAAAAGGTATCACCAACCAGCCAATCAATGAGAGTTTATTGAGCACCTACTATGTTCTTGGCACTGAGGCTACAAAGACAAAGCAGGGACCCGTCACTGATCACCAGCCTTGGCTTGGCGAGCCTTCCTGAATTTAGCCTGGTGTCTAGATGAATGGCCTGTAGTCCATCCATCACTGAGCTCGTGCTAGAAGTTTTTTGAACTTGGTAAACCTGCTAGAGTTTGTCCTTCCTGGCCTAGCCCAGGATCTCTCCTCACCCAAGGTTGGTGTAGAACTTGAATGCTGGCTGTTAATGAATAGTTAGCTTCGTTACAGAGATTCTTCGGGTAGCTGGGGCAACAAGGACATAGTGACAGTCATTCCCTAGACCCAATCATGTTGGAATTGCATTGGCATTGCCATTAAGCCAGCGGAGGTCTCCAAAGCAAAGCCCCAACCAGCAGCTGAGACCAGGGCCACCGCAGCGAGTGTGGGAGCCAAGGAGGGTTTGGGAAGGAGAGAACAAAGCAGTAGATTCTACTTTAGAAGAGCCTGCCTGGTGTCGACGTGACCTCTGATCTGCACACGACTAGGATTGAAGGCCCAACTTATCTGATGGCACTTTCCCCGCGTTGCCTGTCACTCTACATTTTTTCCTTAACCAGACCAATTTAATCCAACAAGTTTTTTAGGCACCTATTATGTGCTACTAAGAGGCAGCAAGGTGGCACAGTGGATAGAGAGTTGTCCTTGAAGCCAGGACTGGGTTCAAGTCCTGCCTTTGAGGCAGGCTATGTGACCCTGGGCTAGTCACTTCATCTCTCAATGTTCTAGGCAACTCTAAGACTTAAATGCCGAGAAGGTACCCACATGCATTGATGGAGGGAATGTCTAACTTTGGAGTTCTCTCTACCCATGGAATCACAGGGTCAGTCTCTATCCTTCCCATATCCTACTGTGTGCAAGAGACTGTGCTAGAGATTGGAGGGGGTGAGGGAAATACAATGATAAAAGGAAGAAATAAACCCCAAATAGATGTTTTTAAAAGGAGGTAAAGAACCTGTGCTCTCTGGTCCTGATAAATACTCCCCTCTTCTTGTCAATGTCTTTGTAAATAATTTGCGTTGTCTTGTCAGCATATACATTGTCTCATGATGGTAGAATGTCAGAGCCTTGAGGGCAGGCACCGTTTCATGTTTGTCCTGTTATCCTTAGCACTGAGTACAGTGCCTGGCACACAGTAGGTGTCTGATGATATTTTGTTGAGTAGAGTTGAGTCTGGATTGAGGATATCTTTAAAAAAAAAGTCTCTTGAGGTTAGGCTGAGGGATTTTGTTTATGCTTTGATTTTGGTTTATACCTCTGATTTTATTGGGATAAAGAGGAAACTCCCTCTACCAGTGTAAGCCAGCACCTGCTCTGCAAGTTCTAATCTCAGAGAATTGTCTGGGGGCAATGGAGAGGCTAATAAAGATGATGATAGTAATAATAACTAACATTTATATAACACTACAAGGTTTGCAAGGCAATTTACAGAGATTATCTCATTATATCCCCATTGTACATCTAGGGAAACTGAGGTTGTGAGAGTTTAAGTAATTATCCCATCGTAGCAGAGTTAGTATATGTTGGAAGGAGGAACTGAACCCAGGTCTTTCGGCCTCAAAGGCTGGCATTCTATCTACTGTGCCAAGCTGCTTCTCATGTTCAGTTATTGATATTTAATCATGCTTGATTGCTATCATTATACACTAATAAATCTTTCTAGAATTTTTGTTCTTATTTTAGAGTGCTCTTTAAGTCTTGAATTTTATTTTCATAAAGCCATTCCTTGTCATTTTGCCCCAAATGTCAAATGTATGGCTACTTTCCTGCACACTATGTGCCAGGAAGAAAGCTCCTGTGTCTGATTGTGAAATTGCTCTCTGTTTGTGCCTTGTAGGTGGTCTTCGAAGCGCTGCACAATTTGGAGCCTCGTGGTTATGTTGTGGGCTGGATTATTGCCATCAGCTTGCTGGTGGGCATCCTCATCTTTTTGTTACTGGCCGTGCTCTTGTGGAAGGTAAGACATTCAGTGAGGCATTGCAGCTACAGGCTGTTGTGATCAGAAGTGAAATGAGGCTCTCAATACATCTATGCCACGCTTGGTACATCCATGCCACCCTCAGTACATCCATATGCTCCTTATGTTCTGAGCATGCTTGGCAGCTCAGAGATGGCAAACATCTAAGGAAGTTTCATACTGGAGAATGTCCTGGTGTGGTAGAATGTGGTAGAGTCAGCATTGCTTGATGAGGAGCAAAATGGCATCCTGGCACATTGAGAGGAGGTGCTCAACGTTGGCAGTGGGAGTGAAGATGATTGCCTAGCAAGGTCCTTCCAGAGAAGCGGTGTCAGAGTGACATCTCTCCTTTGTCCTCCACAGGATCTAGCCTCCACCCTGTGTCTGAGGCAGCAGGAACTTCACATTAAAACAAAACGGAAATTTGCCAATTGAATAATTGTTTTTTTTTTTTATGGAACACGAGAAAACAGGCAGCCATAAGATTCTTTATAGCCTTTGCCTGTGTGATTTGAGGTTTCTCCCCACTAAAGTTAGGTGATGTGGTGAGAATAGTCTACTGAAGAAATGACCAAAAGAAAATCCAGGGCAATCTTTCAGGGGATATGTACACAGAGACCATATTTGGGGGGCTTAAAATAAGGAAATATGATCCAATAAAGCAAGCTTAGTATTGACAAGGACATCGAAGAAAGAAAGAAATGTCCCATAGATACCAACATATCCATAGCAGCACTTTTGAACATTGTATTTTATTTTTATCTATATCATTTGTTTTAAATCTCATTCATCTCCAAAGAGATCCCTTTCTCTTCCTCTGCCAAGAGATCCATGCCTTGTGACAAATGTTTAAAAACAAGAGAACAAAAATCAGTACAGCAAAACTAACCAACACCTTACCTGTGTGTCAGTCTCTGTGATGTTCCATAGCCGTTGTCCTTCACCTCTGCATGAAGGGAGGGAGGTATGTGTTCCCGACTCTTCTTCAGGGGCAAGCTTGGTCATTGTAATTATGCAACATGATTTCATTTTTCTCGTTCTTTCTCGATTCTGAGAGAGTTCATGCAAGTCTTCCCTTCACCAAATTCTTAATATTCATTATTTTATACTGCCCAGTAATTTTCCATTGTATTTATATGCTGCTTTCTTTTTTCTTTTTTGGCCATTTACCAATTGGTGAACATCCGTTTTGGATCTATTTCCTTGTTTCAGTAAAAAATGCTGCCACAAATATTGGGAAGTATGAATATAATGGCCTATTATCAGTACAAGCTTGAATGTGAGGAATTCGGTGAAATATCAGAAGACTTGTCAGAACTAATGCAGAGTGAATAGAGTAGAACAGTATAGCCAGTGACAACGAAGTGAATCAAAACAACTAAAAGGTGGTTGAATTCAGCTTAATTAGGATGGCCAATCTTGTCCCTGGAAAAGAAATGTTGAAACCACTTTCCGTCTTCTTGTGAGAGAGGTAGAGCATGATAGGGTTGGCATATCATATGCATCGATGTCAGATGGCATTGTTTCGTCAGTTGTTTTTATTTGTTATAGGGTAGGGTTCGTTTGGGGAGGTATATTGAGAAATGAATAGGATATAACGATTACTGAACAATCAATAAAACATTTTTAAAATCCAAAGGAGTTCTAGAGCTTTTGAGCTCAAAGGCACCTCCAAGGTCACGTAGTCTAAAAGCTTCACTTTACTGATGAAGTAATTAAGACCAACAGAGAGATGAAGTGATTTAATTTTGCCCAAAATCACAGCAAGTAACAAACCTTGGCGTAGAAGCCAAGTCTTAGTTCCTAGTTCATTACTCATTCTGTTCCATCGTGGTTGCCTGGTTCTGTTTGTTTTTGTTTTTTAATGATACATTTCTTTTGGACACGTTGAACAAAAACTCGAATGACACCTCCCACTCCACAAATCACGTAAAACCACCAAACAAGATGATTGTCCCTTTCCATTTTGTGGTTTCCCAATTATAAACAGAAAGGAAGTCAATGTGCTCGCACTTTAATAGCGTGGTACCCACACCACTCATTGTATTTCATCTGAACGTAGTTGCCTTTGAGATTGTTTATTCACATGGGTATAAACATTATGTGTATTGCTCCTCTGATTGTCCTCTTATTACTCTGTGCCACTCCATCTAGGACTTTTCCTGCTTCTTCTACTTCTCCATAGTTGGCATTCCTTACCTTGCAGTAATGTCCCATCATAGGCATATACCACAATTTATTCAGCCATTTCCCAATCATTGGATGATTTTACTTGTAGCTTTTTGTTGTTACAAATAATGCTTATAAGATTATTTTTGAACATGAGTCCTATGCCTACATGCATTAGCCTTCTTTGGGGTATGAAATTCAGGAGTGGATTTACTGAATAGAAGGGTATGAACAATGCAGTAATTTTCAGCGCATTATTTCTAGACTGATGGATTCTTCTGGTTGTTAATGCTCTTTCCCACCTCCATGGAATTGCTTTGTATATCTTTTGTATTTACTTATCTGTGTAAATAATTAATTGAAAGAGGTAGAGAATATAAGATCCCACTGTGCGTATTGTTTGTTGATTATGAAAAAGCATGTGATTTGATTAAACAAAATATAGCCTGCAAGGCTATAAAGATTGTTCAAGATTCCTTGGAAGATGTGACAACAGAAATAACCCTGTTCAGTGACCCTCTGATAATAAACGTCACACAAGACATAAAATTGGGAGGCGTCTGCTCACCAGAAGTATTTATCACTGTGATGGACGAATCCCAGTACAGATTCTAGCTTTTTCATGTGACATGGACTTATTTACATTTATTCAATTTCTTTCCTTGCTAAATTTGCATTTCAAAGGCCTTGTTCTGATTTTTTGGGAAGAGAATGAATGAAAGCCTGTCATGTTGAAGGCTTGTTTTTCTCATATAGGAATATGCTCATCTTTTTAGGATATGTTACATTATCATATTCTGGCTTTTTTCTTTTAGTAAGGCATACTGCCTGATTTCTTATGTAAAATTCCTCCTCCTGGCTGCTTGCTGTTTGATAACATTACTTCTAGATCTTGGTGACTACATTTCTTACTGAATAAAAGTTGGAATTTTTCTCCTAGAGTCCTATGGATTCTATCAAGCCATATTTTGCCCCCTTTTTCTAGTATTTCCAGGCAGTTTTCTATATGGTTTCTTGAAATATGGTATTTGGGTTCTTTATTTCATGGTATCTTTTTTCCAGGAGGCCAATGATTCTCTGATCATCTCTATAAGCTCTGCTGATTACTTTGGATTGCAGAAGTCTTGAATGTCCTTTAATTTTACTGTCTTTTGATTTTATTCTGAACCTTATGGTTTTAGTTCAGCATTTTTGTTTTCCATCCCTGGAGTTCCCTTTGACATAGTGTCTACTGTTTTGTTAAATTTCCTTTCTATTGATTTTCTTATTTGTCTTTTCTAATTCTAGCACACAGTAGGTATTTAATACACGTTTGTTAATTCTTTAAGAGTTCTAATTTCCCTCTAATTTCCTTCGGTTCTTTTGAACTTCTAAGAAACTCTGGGCCTCCTGAGTTGCTTCAGTCTCATTTTTAGGGTCTTTGGAGTTATTGAAATATTACTCTTTTCTCCTGGAGAGTTAGTTTTCCTAGCTTCTTTTTACCCCATAGTACGGCTGCATTGAGCTGGGATGCTTTATTTGCTTTCTATTTCTTTCATCTCTGTCCTGGTTTTTCTGTGGTTTTCCTTGCAATGATTCCTTTTTCCCCCCTATTTTTGGTTGTTGCTCTTCTATTTTATTTGGCACATTTCTTCCAGCTTTGAGGTGATGAAGGGGAGCTGGGAAAAGGCATAACCACTCAGCTCTCTTGCCAGAACTCTCCAACCATGGCTGCTGTATGCAAATCTTATTCATGGTACATTTTGCCTTCTTGAAATCTGGATTATTCCCAAGCATGTAGGGACAGATGTTCAGTGTAAGCTTCTAACTGAAGGTTTCTTAACAGCTGATACCTTATTTCAGTCCATGACTGAATAGATGAAAAAGCATTTATGGAGTGCGTACTATTTGTCAGGCCTCCCTCAAGTCTTTGGGGTTAGGTTTGTGAACCTAACTATTGGGTGTATTCTCTCAGGTGAGATTTGTGGGGAAGCTAGGACGTGGAGATCAGAGAGGATTTTGCCCAGGACCTCCAGGAGAGTAAATATGAGAGCAAGGCTGACCATCTTCTGGTAGCTGGATTCACAAAATGCTGAGCAGGAAGTCTGTTGTCTATTAGAATGGAAATCCAGCTTTTTGCTTGAGGTCTGAGAAGGCAAGACCATTGTTGAGTAATATGAGTTTTGTTCCTTGTTTTTTTATGTGAGCTCTTGAAATTAGGGAAGATGAGATTCTCTTCATGGTTCTGTTCATGGAAGCAGATAGGAATTTGGAAAAAGCCCAGGAAAGGGTGGTCCTTGTGATGTGCTTCCTCTTTCTAGATGAATCCTTATGTGCTCCTCCTCAGGAGTCCCTGGCCTCCCCGCACACGAGTGTCTTCCGAAGCGAGGCAGACTCAGTGCCATCCGTTTGGATTTGTTTTTAGTAAGTAGAGTTCTTGTCAGGGAGTCATTAATCCAGGTGGTCATCCCACCAGATGTCTAAGAGACTTAGTGCCATCAAAATGTGACATCAGTGTCTTAGAGCCGCCCTTAGATTAGCACCACAAAAGGTATGTAAACCCAAACCAAATCTAATTTTTGAAAAATAGTATCAGGAATCCCTGAGGGTCGCCTTGGTCTTTGGTGGCTTTTAAGAGGGATGAGTGTAAAGTGTTTCTCTTGGGTTCATCACTGCAACATATTGAAGATAGGTGTTTGGGAAGTTGGTCAAAAAGATGATGCTTAAAGAAAGGATTTGGATTTCTGGACCCTGGGTTTAGACTATAGGCAGGACAATCTCAAGGCCAGGGCTAGAGTGTGCTTTGTGAGAGCTGTTGGAAATATCTTTGCCCAGAGTCTCCCTGGTTTGTC